ATGGCTTTTCTTTTGCTTCCAGAAAACGTTTTGCATGATTAAGGATTCCGACAATGAGGAGGACATCGAGCATAATTCGGTTTCCGATAACGACGATTATGAACGCGATGATGAGATGGAACCTGCGATGCCGCCTGTCGCTGAAGAACCTACTTATACAGTCGCGAATGTCAAATTTGAGGTGAGCAGTTGCTATTGCAGTACTAGTGTTTTAAGCGAGAAGAGCAGGATTCTACCATGTTGCAACTTTCGGCACTATTCAACTATTACTACCCAATTTTCCGAAAACAGGCCGGATCTTGATCGACTTTTTTCTACGGGGGCAGATTTGGCTGAAAGTTGGGTTCTAGGGGTAATTCGACCTCCTGAACACGAATATCATTCACTTGGCCTGAAACTGTCTGGCGGCGGCGCCAAAATGCCCCAGGTCATTAGGTTCGCTGAAAGCTTGTATACGGAGGTTGTTTGACATCCTGATTACAAATGTCACATTCCTTTTCTGGCGCTGGCGCTAATATAAGACGCTGCGATCATCTGCGGTTTAGCGCTTTTTCAAGGCTGAGCCTGGAAGAAAGAATGATTTCTTTCAGGTCAGGCTTAGTCTTAGCGGGCTGGCGTCGAAAGATACAATGTCATATTCGTGATCAGGGCATCAAACAACCCCATTATGCAGGTTTTTATCGATTTGATAAAAAAGGGTGTCTCGCTAAATCAGCGCCTAGTGGCGCCAATGGGGCGAAAACTAATTCTGTGCTCGTGATCACGACATCAAATAACCCTACTATGCAAATTTACACCGAATTTGGTGAGAAAGGTGGCGGCGCCAAACTGGCGCCAATTTGGCGCCAGCGCCGAAACGAGTGCTATATTCGTGATCAGGACACCGAATTACCTCTGTGGGCAAAGTTTCACCAAAAAAATTTTCTTGACTTTTTGGGGTAGTAATAGTTGAATAGTGCCGGAACTCTGAATGCTACGTATGCTTCCTGAAGTTCTCTCACCTTTTTTCCCGTAATAGTCAGTTTTTCATTTTCAAAAAACCCCGGAGTACTTAATCGTTTTACTGATTTCTTCATGTTATTTTCTCGCACTGTTGCCGATTTATTATAGGATGAAGTTCCACAGCGGCCCGCAAGAGTGAAAACCGGACGAAGAAAATAATGTATTTTTGCACTTTGTTGAGTTTACGGTGTATATTCTTGTTATTTTGTTGATCCACATAATTTTTTGTGTGGAGTTTGTTCAAATAGATTTTTCTTCTTACATTTAGTTTGAGATCCTTAGCATTTACTACCCTGTGTAGAAAAGTAAATCAACAAGTCACCGCAATTATATTAGCCAGAGAGAAATCGCCGTCCCTTATCGTTTCTAGGCTTCCCTTACGATTCCTGGAGAATCGGATGAAGGATAAAACGTTTAACTTTGATGGATTCCTTTTTTGGGGCACTATTCATTTTAATGTAGTTTCCATTTAGAATTTCTAGCCCTACTGAGCTGTTCCTAACCCCAAGAACTGAAAAGAATTGTTTTTGCTGGAACGTTGACTGTAGGAGTAACACAGAATGATCACGAATATGGCATTGAATTTTGACGCTGGCGGCATCCGGCACCATCAGGCGCCAGTTTGTCGCCGCCATCTTTCTCACGAAAATCGATGACATTTTGTATGCGGGGGTTAATTGTCATCTTAGGCACGGGTATCACAGTCGTTTTGGTGCCGGCATCATTGAGACTTCTGCTAAGCTGAGCTTCGGAGAAGCGATTCCCTCCAGGCAGGCTCAGGCTTAAAATAAAAAGCACTTCTTCCGCCGCTCAACAAACAACAACTGAGCGCCCCTGCTTTAGGTGTGGAAAGGACGTTCGTTGGATGGACGGTCCTTCTGAGCGGGTGTTAGAACTAGAACTTTCGGCGGCTGTGGGACCCTCCTCACTCGTTGTGTAGTCGCAAGAAGGGACATAGTCTCTTAGCTAGGGGGCACGACTGTTGGCACAAGGAACGATGACCATGAATTACTTGAGCGCGGGAG